AAAAGTGGAAGCAGCCATGTCACGGGGTCTGTGACGGCGCGTCCGTGAGGGTTGTTGTTTGCCTTCACATTTTGTGTGGCATCTAGGTTTGAAAATTCATGTTTCTCTTGAGGGCTACAGCATCCTAGGACCCACTCATATTGGTTGCATACTGACTCTGAGAAAAGAGAACCAATATTGGGTTGTTGAATCCACTTTCTACAGCAGCAGTGGCCAACAAGGGGCACGGGCAGCCTCTGTGGGTGGCATGCGACTGATTGGGGGCAGGGGCAGGCAGCACAGTGGCAGATGGCGCAGAAAGCAAAGCAGGAAGCACGGGGAAGGAAGCAGAAAGCAGAGCAGCAAATCAACCGGGGAGCACAGGGAAGGAAGCAGAAAGCAGAGCGAGTGGTTGAGCAGAGGAAGAGGATTGGACTGGCACTTGGGAAGAGTGCGGGGCTAATTTGTGGTATACCTGCCAAAAAGATTGGCCCTCACTGTCCTGCAATATCTGGCTTTTCCTTGCAATTCTTCCATTGAGTCCCCTTTCCCCCCACACCCTGGCTCCACACTGCACGTAGGGTGTGACAGCAGGACTCGATACTGTGGAGCAGTGGCACAAAACTACCCGGCAGCTATATTGTATGCAGCAGAAATCATTGCCATGTATTGCATCTCAACCCGCACGCGTTCCTGCTTTCGCACCGCTACTTGGGAGGAAGAGTGATATTTGTCTCTAATGCCATGGAGAACGTGCATGGATTAGATGAGTCCATGGAGCTGCTTTGGTAATTGTGATTATTTACTACTTTGCAGCCGGTAGGTTAAACACTCCTGCCTGTTGAACACCCCCCAGCTGTCTGCTGGGATCACTTCATGTTTGAAGTAGTTCTGGCTTCTGAGATTACAGTGTTTACTTCTTTGGCACTGAAGAAAAAGGGAAGCTAATATTTGTTTCCCCTTTTGCACAGAGAAGCCTGTTACAGGACAGGCAGCAAAATGCAAGAATGCAAAGGAACAGCTCAGGTCAAAGGGAAAATGCCCCGGGGGTATTTAATTAGTATTTAATTTGCTTCTCTTTAAGTACTTGGGAAGCGCTGAGATGGTCTAGTGATGGAAGCCATGAAGGTATGCAGCTCTGTGGAAGGAAGAGGTACCTGTAACTACCTCTTCAGCTTCACTTCTTCCTCCATTTGCTGTGTATAATCCAAAATGTAAGTCTTCCCTTGCTGCCACCGGTGCTTCCTTCTGGTGCCACGACACACAGCCAGCGCCTCCGTGGGACTGGCTCCTGGGTGGACCTAGCAGTCTTTCTCACAAGCCACAGAGTGGCCTGAAGGTGCAAGCTCTGCTCCTTCCTGTAAAGGCCAGAGCCCAGATGTGGCCCGAACCCCACTCCTGTAGCAGCTGGAGGAACCAGCCATGTACAGACACAGACAGACCCCGAATCCTTCCTTCAGACCCAGCCTAGAGAAGGCCCCTTCCCTCCAGGGCTGCTGCTGAGCTCAGCTGGAAATATGGAGCATGTTAAATAGGGCCCTGGGGGAGCAGGGGGCTCGGAGGATTGCCAGCGCACTGCAGAGCCCGTCCCCTCGGCTGCCATCGTGACCCTCGCCCTGCTCGATAACAGCCGACACGGGTGACTCCAAGGGAGGCTGAGAAGTCTGCGTGAAATGAGTCCGTGTCACTAGTCGGGTACTTGGTGACCCGAGCACCACGTCACATAAAGCACCGCTGTACCCAGCACTGTGGGCAAACAGATCAATAAGCGAGGACCTATCCTGCTGCCAGTGGTGGCCTCTTCTCCTGGGTACTTTCTGTCACTGCCTGCACTGGTTTAGTGACACCTGCTTTTTTTGGCCCACTGTTCAAAGTGAGCTGGTTGTTGTCCCCCCAGGTCTCGCAGGGGCACCGTCTGGGGTCCTGGGGTGGCTGCCCACACGATGCCTCCTCTGTACACAGAGGACTTCACTCTCATATTCGGCATTTTGCTTCGGTCCCCTCTTTGTTTTTTTACAGAAAGATCAAATAATCCTGAAGTTGTGAATCAGCAGCTAGGAAATCACAAGCATCACTGCAGAAGTTCTCGGGAGAGGCATGAAAGCAAAATTATTTCTGTTCTTTTCCGGCTCAGATTTTCCGTGCAATTTATCCTTTTGTTTTAGTGGGATTTGTGTGGATGAGCGGGGAGGAGCTTCATTTGCATTGTCTGGAGAGGCCCCGTTCCCTATTCCGTGCACGCGTGTAGGCATCGCTGATTTGCACACGTGGCAAATTTCAAAAGGGAAAGACACACAAGCAGAAGGAGAGGCGGGCGCAGAATAATGGGGAAAAGGACGAAAGAAAGGGTGCGGCGAGAAGGAAGGACCTCCCACTTGGAGCGTGCCAGTCACTGCAGCCCTGCCAAAAAAATTGGAGATCAAGAGCTTATGCAAAGTTGCTCATTAATTTTTTTTTAATTATTATTATTTTTGCTGCCGAGGTTCATCGGAATACACGTTAGGAAAGCGGTTTCCTTTGCTTGGCTTTGATCTGCTGCATTATGTGTGTCGTCCACGCAGTTGTTGTGTTTATCATCTCTTCAGACAAATCAGGAAGATTATAACTGCGGTGCCTTAAATTAACGTGCAGAGCGCTGTAATGTTAACCCGCAGAAAAGGCTGCTAGATGACAACTGGTCAATATGATTCATAGGGCACTTAGTTTGTAGTTATACGAGTGCCAATGAGTCGGGGGGAGACAAATAAGCACAGTTAGGGCTTTGGGAGGAAGGAGAGGCAGGAGCTGCCAAGTCCATGTGCATAAGAGGAAGACAGCTGTCCAGGCATGGGAAAGGCCCCTTGCTTTTTCAGTGGTTTTCGGCTCTGGCATGCTGCTCATCTTGCAAGAGATCATTTGTAGACAGGTCTCCACGAGTCAGGTAGGAAGGTGATCGGATGCTGTGACCACAGAATTAAAGGGCGAGAAGAGTCCTCAGGGGTCACCTGCTCCATCTCTCGACACAAATGCAGGATTTGCTCTTCCCAAACTATCCCAACGGGATCCTAGATTTTCTGCTACACTTAATTGCAGCTGTGAAATTGCACCCACAGAGCTGAAGGGAGAGTTGAACTGGTTTATGAATCCGCTCCATCACATCTGCAGAGGAGCTTCAGGTCCGAAAGCTCCCTGCTCCCCTAACAGCATCCAGACGTCGAATCTTTTTCTTACTGGTATGACATCTTCACCCTGTTTCCAAAGAGCAAGAACATACGTGATCACCAGGCTTGGCGATTGATGCGTCGCCCATCTCAGATTTAAAGATCAGCTTCCAGGATTTGACACGGCGACTCAAAACGACCAGTCTGGCAGGTTCTTGCCCCAGCGGGGCTCGATGCTGTCGGTGAAGCAAAACATCCACACTCCCTCCTGCAGGCATGTCCTTTCTCAGCTTAAAACTGATGATGGGAGCCAAAATAGCGCCTAGATAGAGAGAAGGATGTAGGGTGTGACAGGATTGACTACAGGAAGGCATGGGGTGTCTTAATAGGGCCTCAAATGAAACCTAAAGTAGCTTGGACAGACAGACAGAGCAAAAAGAAGTCAGGGAGCTAGAAACTTCAGTGCAGACTTACTGCAATTGCTCCCTGGTGAGTCCCTGGGTGAGATTGCGTGTGTATTCGTGACTCCATTGCAGGGAGGCTGCACACTGGGGAGAAAGCAGGGAGAAGATTTCACAGCTGGCTTGTGGGCTCTGGGACCCACTACTGCCTGTGAAGCTGGTGCGTCGCTCCACGTAACGGGGACTCTGCTGCGTTCGGACCCTGCCCAGGTTGCGCCTCGACTACCCAGAGCAGTTGAGCAGTGCGCTCTCTCGTAGGAGTGGTGCAGGAATTGCAATAAATAGCTCTCCTACTCGAGACAAAACACTCCCCAAGTGCAATTAAAAGAAGTCTTTTTCGAGACAAATTACTTCGTTTAATCTAATTTATAAAAAGCTATAATTTTCCTGCGGATTCGTGAAAGTGCTGAAACTGAATTTTTATTTTTAAACAATGGAGGAAGTTAGGCACAATTAAAAGTATTTATAGAGACCCTTGCCAGTGAGAGGTTTTTCTTTTTGCAGCAAGGTGACCATTAATTGCATGTTGCTGGGATCCCTTGGAGTCTGATTTCAGCAGATTCCACTGTCTTTGCTACAAATCAGACATGCAGAGGAAAAGATGTTGCTGAACTTCGTAGCCCAGACAAGTCTCATTTGTATGTAAATGCTGAATGGGTACTTCCAGGGAAAATACTCAGTGTGTGGTGGAGGGAATTATTGGCATGAGTCCGCAGCTAAATTGCTGCGTGGCTCACTGAGTGTTACCTTGCACAGCCCACGTGATACCTCCGGACCGAGGCACCCTGTGAAATTGTGAGGTCTCCTAGATTGGTCGGGGGCAATGGAGCGTGCATGAAAGTCAGGACTGACAGTGCTGACTATAGCACAGTGGGGGCCACGCAAGCTGGTGCCATGCAGTGTTGCCTGTGCTCCTCCCTCCTGGGGGAGCATCTCTGTGACCCCTGTTGCTCATTCCCCACCATGGTCCAGGCTCTGCTCTTCACGCTGTGCTTGCAACTCCCGTGCGGTTATGTTGCTGGGACCACATGCCCCACTGCCAGCGCTCCTGGCCGGCAGCTCCCTCGGGGTGCCAGACTAGAGCTCCCTGCACAGTTCTGCCAGTCCCTTGCATCCTTGACCTTCAGCTCTCCAAATGTTCGCGGCCTGGGCTCCCCCGCACACGCAGCCACTGCACTGCAGCCTGACCTGCAGTCCCCAGCCAGGATCCCACACAGGCTTTGCCAGTGCACCTCTCCTCGCTGGCTTGCAGCTCGCTGGGCACCCCGTGGCCTTGCTAATGCCCTTTGCTCCAAGTTTGTTCCAGTCTAGGGTGTCTCCAGAGCAGAGCCTGCTCCCAGGTGCGTGGCGGGCGTAGATAGTGTCTGTGTGGAACGAGGCTGGAGACCTGCCGACTCACCGCTGTGTTTTTCCCTCCCAGTCTGCATCTCCAGTGAGTTTCAGTGCAGCAACAAGACCTGCATCGCCATGATCTTCGTGTGCGACGGCGATGACGACTGCGGCGATGGCAGCGACGAGAGAAAGTGCTCGCCCCTGATCTGCAGCCCCAGCGAGTTCCAGTGCAACAACAGCATGTGCATCCCGGAGCTGTGGGTCTGCGACAGCCATCCCGACTGTGAGGACGGCTCGGACGAGTCCCTGGAGAAGTGCAGCTACAAGGCCAGGCCCCAGGCGCTGAACACCTGCGCAGCCCACGAGTTCAGGTGCGGGAGCGGGGAGTGCATCCACCTGAACTGGAAGTGCGATGGGGACGAGGACTGCAAAGACAAGTCAGACGAGCAGAACTGCCGTGAGTGTTGCCCGGGGTGGGTAGGGTGGGGTAGGAGGTCTGCGAGGAAAGTTTTCAGGGTGCCACCAACAGCTTTGTGCTTGGCCAAGGCCAGTGCTGGAGTATCGGTGCCTGCAGACTGCATACCGGGGTGGGAGGGGTCTAATCCGGGCTTTTCAGGTATCTCCCGTAACGTTTGCTGCTGTCCCGTGACACCAACGGGGGCAGTGATGAGAATCGGCCAACCTGGCAGAGACAGGATTAGAGGCAGCAGCTCCTTCGGGTAGAAACCAGAGCTAGGGAAGAGGAACAAGTATGAAAAGCCTCAGACCACCTGTGTGAGCCAGAGCCCCCACAGGCCAGAAACCATGGCTAATGCTAACCTACAGGCAGGGAAGAAATTAATTCTCTGCCCAGGAAGCCAAAATCTATCGAACCAGATGGCGGATAACAGCCCCTCCGAAGAAGCCGGTGTGAAACGCTCTCTGACTTTGGCTGGTTAAAGGCACAGAGCTGATAAATAATGGACTCCTGTTTGGTTAGCTCTTTGCATTTAACACCTTGTTGCCGTGTTTCGCATGTTCCATTCATTTTCAGACATGAAGCTGCTCCAGCTGGCCACTTACCCAGGGAGACCCAGGCAGGGGGATAGAGAAAAATGTTTCACTGAAATATTCATCATCACAAGAGTGGGATACGATAAAATATTTACACAGCTGTCTGCACACAGCAGTGCTGATGCATGGCCGCTGCCGGGAGCGGGGCAGCTATTGACTGCAGAAACAAAATCTCTCAAACAAGGAGCGCAGGAAAATCTCCCACTCGTACAGATGGAGCCTGGGATTGTTAATGTCCACGGTGATATTGCACCCGGCAAACCACAGGGCAGGGAACCCCAGGCCAACGGGACCCGAGCAGCCACTGCTTGCAAAGGGGCCTCGTGTGAAGGAAAGGGCAAGCTTTCTCTGGAGCACGGAGATTGTGCGGCTTCTTTACCAGGGGAAGGAGGAAGCGAAGGGTCTTGGGTAGCGCTGGCTGTGGGCCACTCCTCTACGTTTCAGGGCGAGGGAGAACAAGAAGTAGAAGGCCTGGGGGCAAGAGAAGGCGAGAAACGCAGGGAACAAGGTCAGTAGAACAGAAGGGGCCTAAAGCGGGCTCAGGATTGATGCTCAGCCCTGGGGGATGGCTTTGAGGCGGGTGGGCGGTTGTGAAGCGATCGGGGCTGACACTTGAAAAGGCGAGTGCTAGTGCCCTGCGGGGGCAGGAGAGCCACGGCTGCACCTCCAGGAAGGGGAGCCGAAGTGGGCGGTGATCTGCCTGCTCGGCACTGGCAGCTGCAGAGTTTCGGCAAGTGCCACCACCCCAGGTCGTGGTCCTGAGCCCCCTTTGGAGGAGAGGGACTTCATTCTGGAAACTCGCTTGGGCACCGTAATAAGGACTCTGCTTCAAGAGGCCTCGTGGGCAGCCGGAGCACGCGCCTTCCCTTGGATTCACCTTCACAAAGGCTGACCCCATCTGTCACAGTGCAGAGACAGCCAAGCCCAGGAGGAGGGTGGGAGGTGAGCCCTTCACAGGCTGGCAGCCGCCAAAGTCCTGCAGTGTGGAGTTCAAATGCTAGAAATGATCCTCTGCAGCAGTCCTGCCAGCCAGGGCCGTGGGGGCTCACGGGTGCGCCTGGGCACTGAACAAATAGTTCCCGTCCCAAAGAACTTGCAGCCGAGTGACTGAGCCCAGGACGGTTCCTCGGCATGCACACGGGCCTCGGAGCAGGATTGGGAAGAAGAGCTCCCTTCCCTCCTTGCTCACAGCTGTGGAGGGAGGAGGGGCCCGGTCACAGCTGCAGTCGGTGCCCAGGGCATGTTGAGCCCCCGCTGTACATAAAGACACAACTCCATAAAGTCCCCAGCCATCATGTTCATCTTGCCTGGGCTGCAAGGCTGGCAGGAGGGGACGGACAAGGGAGGGCGGATGCCAGTGCGGAGGGCCTGGTGCTTGCAGGTACGAAACGCTGTTGGTTTGCGGTGGCAGTTTAACGTGACAAGTGTTTGGTGGGCAGTTTTGCCCCCATCTCCTGGAGCTGGGAAGGTGGCTATAAAGCCGCTGAGCTCACTGATTGCTGAGGCTCTACTGATTTAAGCCCAAAAATAGCCCGCTATTTCCTGCACCCCTGGCACATACAAGTCGAGGAGGTCTGCAAGCAGATGGCCCCTCTGTCCCACACCAGGGCACCCGGGAAGGCTTGAGTGCCCCATCCTGAGGGCTGTCGTCTTGGATTGTGTCCCCGTTTCAGCCCCCTTGTTTGCATGCCAGGCCTTGGCATAGCCTCCACCCTTGATACTTGCTCTTCTACTCCAGGAACGTGGTTGGGATGGAAATCCTTCCCCTCTCATGGGTTCAAGTGAAGGGATCTTATAACTCAAATGCTCTGGTCACCTGTGACAAGGTTCCAGGTGACTCCTTTCTCCCTGTCAACCAAAGGGTTAACTCCAGCTTCACAGTGCGCAGGGGCAGGGCCACACACTGCCTGGTGCAGGGGGGGGCTCCCTCTTGGGGTCACAGCGGTTGTGTTTAGCATGAGGCTGGGGGGGTTTCGGGTCCCTCTGGAAGTGCTAGCCAGCCGTGTAACACTGGCACCCAGCGCAAGGGGCTCGGGGCCTCGTGCTCCCGTGGGCTCAGTGGGAGTTCAAGGTCATTGGCCCGTCTCCGAATCAGGTCCCCGGTCCAACTTCTGCTGATGGTGGTAGCAGGACAGACGTGGGGGTGTGTTTTCTTCCGCCGGATCCTCGGCCCTCTCTTGACTGTGCCCAGGCCTCTTGGCATCCACTCGGCCAGCGGGACCCGGTCGTTCCCTCCTCCCAGCCTGCGCCCTCCGGCTTGGCTGGGGGTGCCCTACACACGTATCCGTGTATTGTAGATGTGGAAGCTCTTTCCAGGAATCTTGTTTCTGAAATAAAAGCCAACAGCGAGGGCTATTTTTAGGCATAATTAATGGGATGGTAACGATGCTAGTTTCATCCCAACTGTACACAAGAAAGCACAGGCCTGGTCTGCTCGGCAAAACATCCCGCTGACGTGAACGACACCGCAGCGGCATGGGGGGAAGAGCAGCGCCAAATGGATCATCGGCATCATGTCCTTCCTGGTAGCTTCCCCGGATCCGACGCTCGTCTGCAGCCTGACCTCTGTCACGTGCTTAACTCTTGGGATCATTTTTTTTTCCCCTGCCCTCAAAACAAGGTGTCCCTTGGTGAGCGCTGTTGTGCATACGATGTCCCACGGGGAGCGGTGCCCCCGGGAGCCTGCACGCTGTGCCACTGTATTTATAAATGTTGGGTTTGCCCCACCCCACATTGTGGCAGTTGTCACTGCTGTCTGAAATGTCACGCAGCTGGAGCTGGATCCCGACTGCCTGCTGGAGCTCAGTCAGATGAAGTCATCCCGAATCTGCACGGTGCCTCTCGGGATACTGGCAGATAACGCCAAGGCCTGGTCAGCGCTTTATGACACTTGCCGCTTGCTCGCTGGATGTCTCGTGGCTCATCTCAAGTCATCTAAAAGCCATAATTTCCGTATTCAGGGACAGCTTGTGAAATTGCTGGGGAAATTCTATCATGCAGCTCTTGATCACATGAATTAGCATCAGTCC